GCGGAGCATGTGCATGAATGTTTGGTTGTCTCGGGTCAAGGGCATGTATATGAAAAAAGGAAGAACTGCATACACAAAGGCGAGCTGCATCGGCAACAGGCAATGACAGGTTACGTGACTACGAAAATCCGGGCCGCAGACAGTCCAAAGCCCCCCTACTCCGTCCGCTGCGGACGCCGCCGTGCCCAGGAAAACGTGGCGAACCCCAGAAAAGCGAGGAAACAAAACCGCAGCTTGCCGCCGTGCCCAGATGTGTTTTGTGCACAAAAAGGAGCCAGGCCCGTGGTTTTCCTCATGCGCCAATGTCGCTGTAGCAGTTGCGACGCATGCGCCCGGCAACCGGGCCTTCTCCCATTCCTCCGCTTGGTTGGCATTTCGGAGGTCAAGGCAAGGCACGGGGCCGAACTTCGACTGCAAGCTGGACGCCTTTTCATTTAGGAGTTACCCCACGATGCCCGGGCGGCAAAAAAATGCGCAGCGGCAAATGACACGAGAGACCAGCGGTGAGCGCAGAATGGCCAGTTGCACGTGAAGGGGCGAAACCGTTCCTAGCTTTTGGGGAACCCCCCGTCCTGGCCAGTGGCCTCCCAGCCCGGCCGTTGTACGGCTGCCTGTGCGTAGGGCTCACTTTTGCCCCCGACCGGACTCCCACATTGCAGTCGTGGAACGGCGCACGAAAGAAAAAAAAAAAAAAAAATCCAGGAGACGGGTGAAGTTGGCGGCCCTTGAATTCGAGGACGATTAAGCGAAAACCTACACGCAGGCAGAACGCGCGTCCCCAAACATTTGAGCCGAAACGAAAGGACAATTGTCAATGACTTCGGCAATTACAATTTTTGGTTTATTCCCTTTTTGTTTTGGTGAGCCTTTTTTCCAATGAAACGAAACACTCCCGCCATTGCAGCACAAAAGGAAAAACCACCTCTGGGCCAGAGTGTTTTTTGTTTCCTTGCGCCCCCCCCGCTGCCTGGCTGTGAGGTCCCTAGCCGGTGCAATGCACAAATCATTTTTTGGTTCTGACGTGTTTCAAGCGGTGCAATTACCAAGTCCGCCTTTTGAGTTATGTGGTGTTGGCTTGGAACCGGTGCAATAACCAAATCCATTTTTGGAGTTACGACACCGTTTTCCTGGTTTCGTTACCATATGCCTGTGTCATGCGAGTCACAACCAATAGAATTTTTCTTCGCCTATATTGCTTGCATAATTTCATGGCCGAAGGTTTCGGGTCAACAACCACACTTTTGTTCACTGTTAAAGGTCCGTTTTGGAGGCTAATATTGACTGTGCTGTCGGGATGTGTAAGGGTGGGAGGCCGGGAGAACGTTGGCCAAGCTGGCAGAAAACGCAAAAGGGCTGTAAATCACGGCGCGACAAATTTCCATCGCCGCGGAAGAGAAGATAGTGCTTTTGGTGGTGGAGGTGGTGGTGGCGGTGGCGGTAGTGGTGGTGGTATTGGTATGTAGCTGGAGGAATTGTTGTTGTTTCAGGCGCCACTTACCCTTCACGCGTTGCTTAGCACAGACCAACATGTGAATCGCACCCGCGCTTTGATGCGCCAAGCTGCGTTTTGCGCTCATGTGTGCGTGGCTCCTGATACGTGTGAAGTTGAATTGGTTGAAATTTGAACTGGACGATAAAACCACCCAGCATCATGCCCAGCATGCGACATGTGACAGGCATATGTGGATGCGGCATTTTTTTTTTCTTTTTCCGGTGGACCTTTTTGCAATCGAGCTCTGGCGGTCTGAGTGCGTACACGGGTGAAGGCCAAATCCAAACCACACGCACGGCCAATCCAACTCCAAGCTCTTGCTGCGACCCGTGGCCTGACTCCACCTGTCTCTATTTGTTTTGTTTGGTTTTGGTTGTCTAATGTTTGATTATGGCGGTACGTGCTGCTTTATGAATGGTGCATAATGGTGCGTTGCGGCCATTTTCATTCTGACTGTGACCTACGGTTGTTCACAGGACTGTCTCGGCAAATTGTTGAGCGCATTTTTTAATCGGATTTTCGCCACTTTGATATGCTTTGGGAGAAAATGTGTTGCAAATGCGGCTGTGGCTGCCACCGTATACATTGTGCCAGGGAACTCATGCGCTTTGCTTATGTATGGTACCATATGGTACGGCGTGTCAAAATTTGTGTTGATGTTGCACTCGGCGCGCAACAACCAACGACGTATGCTTTGCCGGGAGGTGGTGGGACTTAGACCATAAGACGACGGATGGGCGGCGCCAGATTCTGATCACGCTTGGGTTTGGATGAAGCGAGCCCATGAATGGTTTTTCAAACCGGCGGAATACATGATGCGGCGAGGGTTAAGCGTTGCGCTCGCAAACCGGCCGGCAGCTTGGGTGAAACGGATTGTGCCAACGTCTTGCCATCCAAGTTGCCCCTGGACCGCAACAACAAGGCTACCTTGGGGCCAACAGAGCAGCTGCCGACCCATCTTTTCACCCGGGTGTGGAAGTTGCGAAGCAGACCCCGATTTTACGGTCACCTAAACCCATTTCATGACCACTACTGGGACTTAAGGAATGCGGGCACCATCCTTTCTTGGACGGGTGTTTTGTCCGTCACCGCAATGCAAGTTCCGTGCCGCCTTGCCAGTTGCCTGCCAATGGCAGCGATTCACATGAACGCGCCTGGCTGCACTGCATTGCGCATCGCAATGTTGGTTGCAGCAAAATGGTGGCACATGCCCGCTATCAATGCAACAGTTGTTCAGCACAGGATCGAATGTCAACACTGTTCGTGGCATTGCTTGCAACATCTGCCATGTTGCCCATATCTGCCAAACCGCTGACACGTGTGAAAATCATGAACATGTTTTGAGAGCACTGGTATGATGATATAGGCGTGGCTGCTTTTTGCTTCCATTAACATCAAGCGTGTTATCCTTTTGTTTTGCATGTGTCTTGTACGCGTTGTCGTACCCATACATCATGTTGAAGGCTTCATTATTTGACTTGACCCAATACGACTCTTTGACTTCACTTGCCGCAGCAACAGCAACAGCAACAGCAACTGGAAAAAAAAAAGGAAAACATAGCAGCAGCAGTAGTGACAGTAGTAGTCATCGTCGTCGTCCTTGTGGCGGTGGTGGTGGCGGCAACAGTGGCGGTGGCGGTGGTGGTGGTGGCGGTGCTAATTGTGGTCCACCCTTCCTCGTCATTTTGGTGCTATGTTTTGGCTGTTGGTGCGCTTCAAACACCCAAACGAAAGGCAACCTGCATCTGCGAACGTCGAAACCAGCTTGCAGATTGCTTTCTGGCAAATGCAGCGGGAAACCGTGCTTAGAGGGTCGCACAAAAACAGGGTCGACAACTTTCCCCTTTTTCTCCTGTGCTTGGCAAAAGGCTGGCCAGCCGCTCATGGCGCAACCCTCGATCCCGCAGCTCAGGCGGCGTGCGCTGCAAGAACACCAAGATGCGCTGATGCGGCCGCCGCACTTGCTGTGGCGTCAAGCACGATGCGTCCGGCAGACGCCACACGCTGGCGTCGTCACACCATAACCCGGCGCAAGCTGCGCGTGGCACGCACGGAGGTCGTGGCGAGAGAGGAAGCCATGGCAAGACTGGAACAGCCTGCCTGGGCAAGCGTAGGTCCAAGCGCAAGCGAAAGCGCCGGAGGGCGAAAAAGGCTGCAACGCCATTTCGGAAACATGGCCACAAGCAGCATGAACTGCGCCTTCGACTGCTGTGAAGGGACATGATGACGAGTCCGGGTGCG